GTTTACAACGATGCAATCAGATTTTGTAAAAATACAAGAATGGTTTATGTTAAATAAATTATCACTTAATTTAGACAAAACCAACTATATGATATTTACTAAAAGGAAATTAAAAGTAGATGTTTCATTTAAAATTGGTGGCGTTAGAATTTCTAGGGTTAGTGAAGTGAGGTTTAGCTACACTGTGAAAGTTGAGTTTAATTTCTGCATGTTGTATGTTCTGTAGATTTTTTTTAAATGGGGCAGATGTTACAAGATTTTTTCTTTTTTCTGTTCCTTTTCATTTGATCATGCTGTGTTGTGTATTTTTGATGCAACATTATTATTATTCTTTGTATTGTTTTAAATGATGTTCGAATGAAATACAGTATTTTAAAAAAACAGCACTAATATTGTGTTGAATTATCAAAAACAGCACAGTCAGTTCACTGATAAAAGCTTTTTATTCAAAACAATATTAATAAACAAAGTGGAAAAATGCAAAAGGAAAACTTTTCTTTAAATAGTATAAAGCAAGGCACAAGAAATGTAACATGAAACATAAAAAGCAAAAATAACCAGTTGGATAACGGGTTGTTGGCAGAAAAATAAACAAAAGATTAAAAAAAAGTAACAGCTTTCAGAACATTCCTCCGTCTGAATTCATTTTTTCCCCCGGTGGCCAGTTATTAAAATAATTTATCAGGTGCCAAATAGGGCAGCATCAGATTTCAGACATAAGAGCCTTTGGCTCATCATTGTGAGTAAAAAAAACAACAACAATGTTTGCATTTCTCTGAACGGGGCATCAAGTGGGTTGGAGAGGGAGAAGAATCAGTGGTCTTAAGCGAGGCGAGGTGTTTCAGGCAGGCAGGCAGGATGGGTGTTTAGCAGCCGGTGCAGGCAGCGAACGCGCAGATCTCACAGACATCCATGGGAACTGCAGCTGGAATAAAAACAATTGACAGATGTGTTTGCTGCGTCAGGTTTTCACATTTTGATATTAACGACCTGACGAGGTCTTATAAAGCTCAAATGCAACTCATGATCTGATAATTATCTCACCTAGTCTAATCAGGGAAGCAGATCCTCCTCTCTGCTTGCAGAGGGGCAGCAGCTCCTGGGGGAGCATGGGTTCAGCACAGAACGACATGGTGCTCGCTCGGAGTCGTGGACTTTGTTGTCCGGTCACTGCTCTGCTCTCGGCCAGCTCCTGTAGTCTCTTAACAGCTTCCAGGGAGAAAGACAGTCCGTTTTCCTGAAACAAGGAGCAGATTTGGAAATCAGTATAGGCTCATTTAGTGACATTCAGGTTGCACAGCTTGGGCGTGCTTGAAAGTGAGAGAAATACATGACTTGTTGTTGTGAATAATATTTCTGTATTGACTTTCCTTTTAATGAACAGAGCTTTATTCACCATCAGACTATACGATGCTCAAATCTTGTAAAGAGAAGAACTTACCTCAACTTGCACAGCTTCAGAGGTCAGGGCAAGAGCCAGGACGAGAAGAGTGATGGTGATGATTGTGGCCCTCATGTTATCAGTTGAGGTTGTTTCGTAGCCTGTTTGTCTCTTGTTGTTCTCAGCGGGCGCTCTGCTCAGTGAGTCTGCTTTCCCCCGTTCATCAGTCCTTCTTTTAAACACCCGAGCCCCGCCGCTGCAGCCGTCACATGACCAGAACGTCTGCAAATGGGAGCAACGCTTTTCTCATGGGTTAATGAGTAGCGATGCATTTTTTTACAAGGTTGTAAAGAGGAATCCATAAATTCAACTTTGACCTCATCGTCTGTCTGATTAGGTTTATGGATGTGTGGCTCGCTGGTCTGCCATGRCGTGAGCTGATCTCACCTGGTGGGTTAAAGAGTTACCAGGAGTGAAGAGGATGATGACCAAACCAACAACCTTACACCTACACTTAAAATATATTTGTATTAGTTAAAAGAATACAGTTTATGAAGGAGATGGCCTTGTCAAATACCTGTAAAGTTCTCATTAGCCCTTTGTGCAGACTGGCTGCTGCATGGATTGATTATTGTTCCTGCCCCTGAAGCAGACAAACATATAGATCATTTGATTTGTTCAGCCATTGTGCTGTACCAAAMCTGAATTAATTATTGTTAAAAATGTAAATTGGGGCTGCTGGAATCAGTATTTAGAACTGCAGCTGTGAACACTTTCAGGAAACCGAAGCGGGGTTAAACTGAATTGGAGCGTAGCCTGTAAATCCCTCAGATCCACCAAGAAACGAATATTTATAGATGCAGATTACAAGTTTGCCCTTTTTAATAGTCAGCAGCCTTTTAATGTATACCTGTGACCTTCTGCTAAAATAACAAGTAGGGTCTGGAGGAAAAAAAAAGTAAAAAGACTCTGTTGATAAATATATAAAGTTCACACGAGAGGATGTAAAAGATGGCAGGTTGGCGTTCCTGGACTGTGAGGTCTCAGCTTCGGATGGAGGATGGTTGGAAACTGACGTGTATCGCAAACCCACCCATACAGACCAGTATTTGCGTTTTGATTCCCATCACCCACTGGAACACAAGTTAGGAGTGATCAGGACTCTGTACCACAGAGCAGACAGTGTCCCCACAAACCCAGGAGCCAGGGAGAAAGAGAAGTCACACACAAGACAGGCCCTGGAGCAGTGTGGTTATCCTGACTGTTTCTGAAAGCAGACAAGAAACCCAAACAGGATTCCAGCCAACAACCAGCTGAAAATGAAGACCCTAAACCCAGACCCAAACCTGTCGTCATCCCATATGTGGTGGGAGTTTCAGAGAAACTGAGACATTTATTCTCTAAACATGACATCCCAGTGGCTTTCAAACCCCAAAACACGTTACGACAAAAATTAGTTCACCCCAAAGATCCAGTTCCCTGGCAAAAACTGAGTAATATAGTATAAGCTGTTAAGTGTCAGGAGGACTGTGATCAGTCATATATTGGGGAAACAAAACAGCCACTGTTCAAAAGAATGAGCCAGCACAGATGAGCTACATTGTCAGGTCAGGACTCTGCAGCTTACACTCATTTACAGGCCAGCGGTCAGTCTTTCAGGGATGAAGATGTTCTCATCCTTGATAGAGAGGAACGTTGGTTTGAGAGAGGAGTAAAGGAAGCCATCTTTGTGAAGAAAAACCATCCACCATTAAACAGAGGTGGAGGCCTTCGTGTCCAGTTGTCCTCCTCCTACAATGCTGTTATTGCAAGTATGACTCCGCCCCCTGTGAGCAAAAGGTGTGAATCAGGGTCCCAACGATACCAACACAAAGAGGGAAAGAGAGACAAAAACAAGTGGATGTTGAGCCCCGCTTGCACTCACTGCAAACACAGAACAAAACACCAAATAACCACAGCCGAAACATCCAAACCAGTAAGTCAGGTGATGGGGCACATGACCCTCTATGAACAGTAGAGCTAATCATGCCTATTGTTAAGCGATGGCCCTCTTTTGCATATGACTAACCTGTTTGTCCATGTGGAGGCAGTGCTTTTAAGGCTGAGTTCACCTGAAACTCATCGGACTGCAGAAGTCTCTTGGACGAGAGACGAAACTTTTCACTAAAGAAGAACCATCCAGAGGACCTACTGATTTTTTTATTTTAGAATTTTTCTACCTGGATTACTGAGATGCATCAGGACAAAAAGAAAAAGACATAATTATTTCTGCTTTGGTGTGTGACACCAAATTGATACACACAAACACTGTAAGCAACTGGCATGGAGGCGAGACATCTGAGAGGTTTATAATGAGCTCATGAAGCCCAATTTTTCATGCAGACTGAAGGATTTTTAGTCCGACTAACAAACCAGGCGTGGCACCGTGCATCCTCACTGATTTGTTGTTATCCAACTTTTATTCCAACAGAGATGGAGGATAAAACAAGGGAAAAAATGTAATTATATGGAGTGATCATTTATAAAGTTTCATGTACAGTGCCCTGAGATGTTGTGACTTGGCACTATATAAATAAACTGAATTGAATTGAAAGTTATTTTAACCGATAAATGGTAAAAAAAAAAAATCACATTTGAGACTGTGAATAAAAAAATTTTGTCGTTATATTTTTCTATTTTAAATCTTTACTCACTAATCTTGTTATTATATGATGTAATGAATACTTTTAAAGTATGAACACAGTGTTTAAAAGTAATAATAATAATGTCATTGCATCCATTTATAAATGATGGACCCTCTGCTTCTGCTGTCATTGTGTCAGAGGCTCAGTTAAAACTGAGACTTTGTGGGTTGTTTTGGCCCAGTAGCTGAAACTGATAAAATGTTAGCCACCTCTAATCACTTTTAAACCGTCACCAATCCTGACGACCAACATTTTCCACACAAAATGCAGTCTTTGCTTCAAAATTGGTTGGTCACTCCAAATAATGACCAGTGTCTTTCGGTCAAGTTGTTTTCTGTTTTACAGTTTGTGAAAATCAGGGTACCTGCAGTGTTCCACACGCTTTTGCTACAAACCATAACTCTCATTTATCTATATTTGCTGCAATCGTCTGCCCCTCRCAGAGTGAAGAACCTGAATATCATCCAGAACACGGCAGACCATCTGATAATCGATTAAACAGAACRGGCACATGGCTTTGAAACCGATTGACTCGGCAGCAAAGACTCAGCTGAGCGCAACACAAAGCATCAATTTCAGACAAGATACTCATGAAATGAGACACAGTGAAAATGGTGAACGGATTAACCGAGAACGTCTACTGATGTATGAGATGTGAGCAGAACTGTGATTCTTGAATAACCTGAAACAAGTATTTTTTGTTAATGCTGATCCAAATGACCAAAATATAACAATCGATTACCAAAACAACAGAAAAAGTTGAATGACCAAAAAATTTGTTGGACTAATTTGACCAATTTGTTTTTGTTCCTTTCCAAACTTTATTTATTTACATTTTTTCTTGGTTGCACAAGGAGCTCTGTGTGCACCACAACATGTATAAAAATTAGGATAAAGACACAAACATGCAACTGTCATTGGGTCGATCGGTTGTTTTTTTTTTATTTCAGCACATTTTGTGTCATCAAATCAGAATCTGATCACGCTTAKCAGTTTTACAAGATCAGGCTGCCAGACAGGGTTTTTTGGAGTAATTGAGCATTARCAGCATTAACCAGAGGGACTGCATTACTTTAGAACAATTATTTTTGATGAAAGCAATTTTTATTTAATTARTATCTTTTATTCAGTGTATAACACTCATCAGTCCCTTCATGGTTAAATTAGCATATTAAAATCCTTGATTTGGTCTTAAAATGATCAAAATCTACTTAATAAACACACAACTCTGCAGCATTAACAAGACGTGTAAGAAATGCTTCAGTTTCAGAGGAACCAGATACATAATGGTAACAGAATTATCTAAAAATATGAAGTTTAGACCATATTTTATTTTGTCTGCTTTTGTGACTCGGTCAAGATTCACAACATCGATGACATTTTACAAGATTTCATTTTTTATAATTATAATCCGAATCATTGCAGTGTTGTTTTTATCTAAAACTGTCTTCACAAACCTTTAACCCCACGTATAAAAACTTTATAGGTAGTGTGTTTATCAGTTCTGCTCGGTTCAGTACTGATGTCATTCACGTTTCCTGTGACACTTCTATGTGCAAATGTTATTAAAAGAGTAAGAGTGTCCACTTCACATCGTGATTCATCTGCTAATTACGATGTGATAGTTTTTTTCCCCCTGCTGCATTCAGCTTTAGACACTGGAGACAATAAGCCTTTTGATTAACAACATGCTTGAATATTATAATGACCAGTTTGGATTGTGGATGTCTGTAATTCCAGCAATACATGCACTATTCATTCTGAGCCCCCATTTTATACAGCCCATATTTTATATAAAAAAATGATGTGACATTTCATAAAATTATGGCCTGGATGAAATCCATGTTTGTGAAACTTCAAGGTAAATGTTTATTGTGAGACCAGTTGATTCAGACCAATCAATGCTCTTTATTGGCACCAATGAACCAATGTTAATTCATTTGGCTCCATTTTATGTTCACTGTCAAAGGGAACGGCAAATCAAAATCACCCATACTTTTAAAGTTTTTAAGTTTTATTTACTTACTAACACGCAATTCTTTGTTTTCTATGTATAGCAAATCAAATAAAATCGGTTAGGGTTGGGG